CAAAATACTAGCAAATATTCTCTACGAAAGCTACTAGTTTACACAGTGGGCAAAGGCCGAAAAAACCATACCATACTCCAGAAAAATCAACAATTGACCAGATTCATTCAATAAGACATCCTCGAGGAAACATTAGAATTTAATATTTAAACCTGTCACCTATTCGTCGACTTCAAAGCCGCCTACGACAGTGTCAAGAGAACAGTACTGTACCTACCAATCAATAAGTGAGTTTAGTATAGCAGAAAAATTTATCCGATTAACGAGAATGACAATGACTAACTTAAAAGCCAGTGTTAAGACGCAGGGAGAGAATTCTAGAACCTTTGAGATAAAGGATGGACTAACACAAGGGGATGCCCTTGCTTAAATATTGCTTAGGAAAAGGCAGCCCGAGACACAAAAATTAGAAACGGCAGTATTATTTACAATAAATCGATACAAATCTTAACGAACGTCGATGACATTGACATAATAGGGCGTAGCAAGCGAGATGTGAATATTCCTTAGAATTTGAAACGGCAGCGAAACGGGTCGGTTTAATCATACCCGAGACAAAACTAATTACCTTCACATAGCTTGGCTCGCTGGCGAAGAAATTAAAAGACGAATAAACCCTACAAATAGGGCATACTATGGACTCCAGCAACAATTCCACCCAGAAACATCCTAAAATTATTATATACAAATATACATACAAACTAAAATTGTAATATACAAAACACTGCTGATGCCGGATTTCACATATGGGGCAGAAACTTGGACTCTAACGCAGAACGATGAAAGACTTTTGGGAATATTTGAGCGTACACTATTTGGAGCTATAAACAACCATGGTCAGTGGAGCAAAAGATATAATTTCGAATTATACTAACTCTTTAATGAACCAGACGTAGTCGTAACGTTCATTGAAATACGCCGACTTAGATGGACTGGACACATAAGATGAATACCAGACAACACGATTGCTAAAAGGCTAACCTTTAGAATACTTAGTAAAAAGAAAGTGGTTAGATAGAGTTGAAACGGACTTGAGGGTATTAAAAATCAGAAGATGGCAATAGGTCGCCAGAAACCGAATACAATGACGACGAATCTTAGAGCAGACTAGTGTTCACAAAGGACTGTCGAGCCGAGGGTATGAGAAACCAAAGAACAAAAAATTCACCATAGAAGATAAAATTGCAAATGATGTGCGCATCCCTGACGAATTTTGGCGATCATCATTTGCCTACAGGATGGCATATCTGGATTCATTTGGCATAATGTATCCGAAAGTACTGTAGCTTTCGAGATTTGATGGTGTTCAGTACCTCTAGGTTCTTCTTCATTCTTCTGAGGACCTCTCAATTTGTAATTCTCTTGCACATATATCTTCGTTTAAGGTCCATGATTCACGACCATAAAACAGAACAGATTTGGATATAGCATCGCAGCCTTCTTACTTATATACTAAGAGAGAGATTGTCTTATCTCCTGGTTGTTGGTCCATTCTTCATTTATTATGGTTTCAAGTATTTTGCAGTTTCGCTCTTTCTACTGGGGTTTGGTTGACGTACAGTTAACCTTCTGTTATCTTGTTCTTGTTATTAATTATCATGAACTTTGTCTTCTGGCTTTTCAACCCTGCATGGGTCCTAGCCTCTCAAGAATTTCTCCCCAGTTCTCCGTATCCATCCTCCACTAAGCACGAACTCCATATTTCTCATGTCTTCATCGATGTTATCAAGGAACGTTTTTCTAGGTGGGTAATTTTGTTCCATCCGCATTAAGTAGGCTAAGTAGGTACTTATCGGATCGCCTAGTTAAATAACTATTTTTTTAAATAATTGATGGATTCGACCGTTACTTGATGGAAATTCATTTTATGTAACAATAAAACACTGAAAACTTTGTTTTCAAACTTCCACAAAATTTTTTAACTATTTTTTTGCTTTTATTGACCGTGGAAAAAATTTGACAGGATTGTTCCAAGACAATCTCTAAACAAGCTTCAATAGCAGTAATTATAACAAAATGTTAATCGTGAAGTGTACCTAAAACAGCTCTATATCAGTTGGCAAAAAAGGTAGTGTTTTAACTCCCACTAAATTCATTTTGGAACTGGAAAGAGTGATTAAAAAATTGTAATTTAAAAAATGGTAAAAAAATTAAAAATTGAAACAGTAAATTAAAAAGGTAAGCACGCTACATTAAAAAATACCAAGAAATAATTCTAAATATACATGCAACGTTATTATATCAGTCTATAAGACGTATAATAGGCTGAACGTTTACACAGTTATGTGAAAATATAGGCAATAAAAATGGATAAAAAAAAAGAAACAGTAAACAAGGAATATCATCAAATAATAATTGGACAAATAATAAAAGAACAAAAGATCCTTTATTTGACTTCTCTCCAGAAATACTTTCATAATTGTAATTAATAACGATATATTTAAGTAATTATAAATTTCATTGGTTAGAACAACTACAGATGATAAACAATCTATATTTCATCGTCGTGATTGGACCTTGTAAATTATGTTTATAGAACAAAAATCCTGCCACTGCATTCGAAGTTTTTATCAGAAAGATACGATGCCGATGATGATGTGAATGGTCTGATCAAATAGACAAAATAATTATGTCAAAGATGTTTCAAAACCAATCCAAACAAGCGATATCGTTGCAACATTTTTGCATATTAACAAATAAAAACATTTTTGAAGTTGTCAGTACACAAGTACTGTTATCTACAGTCTTTAATCTAATATTGATATTTGCTTGACGTATACCTGTTGATAGAAAACATTGGAAACACATTTTTTGCATTATTGCGTGAGAATTCCAAATATAATATAGATGATAGTGTATATCCGTCGAATCACGTGAACGAATGCATGCTTCATGATCAAGTTATCGTATAATTCTTTTGGATTAAGAAACAAAGAATAATTGCTTAGATAACAGGAAATTTTTACATTAGAATCTTCCAAAAATTTTGTGTGGTAATGATATTGCCATCAAAAGGCAACATGAAATTACGTTGCGAAACGTACAAAAAGATAAAGTGCGTGGGGTAAAAAAGATCTACTAAAGAGTCAGAATGTACCCGTTTTTTATAATAGCAGAATTATGTAGAATATTAAATGTTAGACTCTATAAATTTTATAAATCTTTTATAAACATTTAGGTCAAGTCCAGTAGGCTCTCCAGAAACTTATGCAGACAGTTTTGAAAAACACATTTGCATAGTTCTCATTTCTTAATTATTGTTGTGCTTTATATTGGCAGGCTGAATGACGGTTTCTGGTCGAAACGGATTTTTCGTTTTGTAGTATATTTGAGTCGAGTAGAATCTTTTTCAAGAAACACAACCATTAGCGAATACAATTAATTCTAAAATCATTTTTTAATAATAGAATGTAAAAAATCACAATCTTCAGGTACAATATTTCGCTGAAACACTTGATTCTTATACATTTTCATTGTACAACTTTCACAGAAGTATATTTCAAATTTTAATTAAGTTTATAACTAACCTAATATTAAAATTTGGACAATTTTACATGTAGCAAACAGGGAATGAATACAGCCTACTATATGAGTAAAATCAGTAATCTAAAATTATTTTGAAATAATAGTGGACTACAAAAAAAAGAATTAAAAAATTCCAAAATATTTGATATTTTTGTCCATGAGTTTATATAAATGTGTAGGGACTAATTGTTACTACGTGAGAATGTTCAAAAGAGAAAGCAGCTGATAAAATTAAACCCACAGTTGTATATAAATTCCAAATTTCTTGAATTTTTGAGGGATTATCAAAGGGGTGAAAATTAGAATGTATCGAGATTGCAGCTGTTACCAATCGGTCACTATACATGGTAATACTTTTACCTGAAACCCTTTCAAAAGCACACTATAAAATTGTAAATGTATTCTATGATGTTTAATCTTTAATATCAATATATGCAAATAGAATCTATTTTATATGACTTAGGGTGCATATATTTTTACGACTTTTCGCCAGATTTCCCACATTGGAGAATTAATCGAGAAATGTATAATTCGTAGTGCAAGTAGAAGGGTCTCAGTAAAGAACCGGATGGCCCTATTAAATCGGTGCATTCCCAGACTCGCATCGCGAAATCTTGGCTTGTCTAACCAGTTTGATGGTCATCTCCTTGACCAACTAACCGGTTTAGTTCTTGTCGTAGATTCATAGTGTATTAGTTTCATTCAATCAGATTCGCTATTACTCACCAGTGGGAAGGGCGCAGAGTAGAGTTTTTAATTTAGTATTTATTTATTCCAAAAGGGATATTCAACATAATTGAGGAGCTTTATTGTGAGAACGAAAAGTTGTCTACGCTGCAGAAAATGCATCTACTTATATACTTTTCTCCTTACGCGTTTTAGGTTTAATATAAATATGCATATTGTTCAACTAAAAGGACTCATGAGAAAATTATTCGACAAAGTAAACAACCTGATCGATGATCACAAAAAATAAGAATAAAACATCATTTGATGATTATAGCAAATTTATACGAACAATAAAAAGATATTGTCAAAGTAGATATAAATATTCTGAAAAATGTACTGTTCAGATGCAGGTTCGATAGGGATGTGTTTAATGGCATTATTATGCAATATTTACTCATGTCGATATGATACCATAAAAAGATTATTTTCTTTATGCTATCTTTTACGATTTGATTTACTCATCGAATCTAAGAAATAAAAATCGAAGTAAAATCAATTTTTATAAAGAGAATGGAAAGGAGACTACAGTAAAATAAAAGGAAGTGGTGGACAACCTGAATTTTTGATGCAATGAACAGAGGATACTACGCAATTGAAATAGATCTTGATTGTATAACTGGTCTGAAATGTATACTGTTAAATAAAACTAAAACAATAATAACATTTCACAATCTTACAGTGATATGAGCAGCATAACTTATATGGATATACGCTCTTATTTGATTCAACCTCTTAAGGGCACTCACCTTACAAACCAGCTCTTCCTTGGTATTGATATCCAGACACCGATACAACGAACTGCCTTCAACTTGTTCGAACAACTGGTACTTATCGGCTATGATGGAACTCTGCAAGAGTCTTTCACTGTTAGTAGTACCCACAGGAACATGTCTACTACGATCAGAAGTCACTCTTGGCACCCGACATTGTGTATCGCGCGGCTGGGGTACTCGCAGTTTCACAACATCGCCCCCAGCAGAGGTAATTTCCAGCGATTTGTCATTTAAACGACGGACATAACTTTGCGGAGGTTCTTGGGACACGTCTCTGTTTTGCATTTTTGAACGAGTAAGTTAAATCACTAAGTATCACCCACTGTTTTAAATCGATTAAAACAAAAATAAAATGGTTTTACGCTATCGGGAACTACTGACACTTGTATGGATGATGAAACCAAAGGTCCTGAAACAAAAAAATCAAACATAAGGTACTTTACACAATCTTCAAACAAACGATAAATATGTAGAAATACTTTATTGCTAGATTGATAAGTATTGCTACCATTGTTATTTATAAAATTTTGATGACAATATTTAACCAAATCGAGTCAGCTAATAAAAAAATTAAATAAGTTTTCCTTTTTTTGATAACCGAAGGGCATTTCATAGCTTTCAGCAATGTATGTATATACAACTTAATAATAAAAGGAAAAACTAAGTGCAACTACCTACTTGGGGTTTACATTAATCTGAAAACAACTCTTCATGCATCATCAAAATGATGTAAGCGTAGAACTAAACCCCGTCGCAGCTTGAATTCTTCAAAAGGGTGAAAATAATGACCAGCCAGTTTGGGGTAAATTTCACAAAAATTAAATGTTTCCCTTAAAGCTGTATCCCGAATGACAATACAAGTCTTAAACCAGGTACACGTGGGAAAACACATGTGCCCTAGCAGGTAGATATACGATTTTAAATTGGTAGTGGGTTGGGTAGAGAAAAGGAATATGTTAATGTTAGCACAGGGCGAATAAAAGATATCTGCGTATAATCTACCTATATATCGAATGGTTAAATTTGTGTTGCGATCTACCGAACACTATATATAACCTTTTTAAATATCTACAGGAGTTTCTCGTGATCAAATATCAATGGGGACTGAATATAAAAAATATTTCAATGACATATAAGGGACACGTTTTAGGTATATTGATTAACAGTTTTTACATGACGGAGATATGCAGTGTCATGTTTCCTGGATTGTATTTCACAATATTGTCAAGTATGTGGTTGGCTTAATCAACCATATCAGAACCACCCAATTAAGCTGACCTTGGAAGTAAAAATAATAAGTTTGTAGGTAGAAAAATACATAAATGCGTATTGATTGTGATTGATAAGTTGTACCAGACGTTTTTGACAAACTTACAGAGTAAACAAATAACAAAAGTGATACGAAAACGCATATTATCTTTTAGCTGGAAGTGAGTAATGGTTCTTTGGAATCAGTTGAATAATTCCCGTATAAATTTCCAATGTGTTGTTTATGATTCTTCGAAATGTAAAAACATACTTTTCTTAAATAATTTCTTGTGTTCATTTAAAAAGCATTCCTTACGTTCAGATGGTTAAAATGAAAAGAAATTTAAACTTCATAAAACTCATAATTCCAAAGCTATTTTGTCATTAATTTGTGGATAAATAAATATAGGAAAGCATTAACAATACAAAAGAATTTATAATGTAGGATAGGAACAAACTGTAATGGCCATTTAATGACCGATAAGATCAAAAGACAAATGATAATTTGCCCAATTTCTTGTATACAAAAATTAATTAAATACATTTTGAATGAGCATTTAATTATGGTATAATCATTGTTTATTTCATACGAGTAGTACCTATATACAATAAAAATATTAGAAAACCCATAAAATCAAGGTGATTATTAAATACAAATTCTCTGTGTTATCCAAAACTACTAACTAGAATAAATTTAGCTTACAAATATTGTAAAGTAATATGTATGAAAATTGTATTGTAAACGTAACTATCAATAATTGTGTCACATTAGGTATTCATCTCTCAAGGAATTGAACTATTATCATTATGTTACACCCAAAAATTCGGCCATTAACAGAGAGTGGACACATATTATATTATATGTAATATAATATATTCTTAATTTCAGAAATAAGGACAAGACATCCGCCTGCATCCTACAAAATTTAGGTTTGGTTATATCAATTAATATATTTAGTTACCGTAGACAGGGTCTATATATATTTTGTATCATCATCACAAATATCTTATTTAATCCTCATCACACGGCTTGTGGCGTCTATTGCTGAACATATGCCTCCCTCAATTGCTTCCAGTATTCTCGATTTTGTTTGATCTTATTGGCAGCTGATATAAAACAAATTATTTGTGGTGTAAGGATAATACCGTTTCAAATAATATGTTCTTATACATTTTCTTTGTAATATATTTCAATCAATGTTATAGTTTTTGTTGTGTACCTATGTAGTTATAAATAACAATTTATCGGAAATATTTTGGTACTCAAATAGGCGCAACAATTATAAATGTCGTAACAGCGCATCGATCAAATAATTTGGATATTGCAACATACTTAGTTCAGCAATGAACAATGCTATAAAGGTCGAAAAAATGAATTAAACAACAATGTCATTGGTGAAATACCATTCTAAGCGAAAAAAATAAATACTAACCTTGCTTGGCACTTCCAAAAAGGTAAAAACAAATCCTTGAAACAAAATTGCACAATAACAAAACCACTGAAACACTACGCGATGTATTAACTGAAGGTTATAACTTTTCTCTTGGACGTGCACACAACAACATGGTCATCGCGTCACTGATAGTATTTTGCTTGGGCTGTCGTGAATTCTGAAATCCATTCCAACGATAGACGGCGTGGAAGGGACGGGACATGCGCGTGAGGATGTTTTCAGGTTTTTAGAGCTTTTCCGATTTTTACCTGAGCTTCTAAGCTTTGGAAGCAAGGTGTGCTTCGTAGTTTCGTACCTTGATGATGGTGTACGTAACACACACCGAAGGCAGAGTGAGGCAGCTTGCGGACAGCGGCGTGTATAGTCGCATGATTCGCATAACTTTGCATAACATGATTTTATTTAATAGTAAATAAGATTATTTTCGTCATTTCGTGCAGCGTCATTAGCTATATACAATATTTGCAAATAGGTGTAATAAAATCTTTCTTGTCCTTGAGTTTTTTACAACTATTGTTTTTCTTTATCAATTTTAATTATCTACAGTTATTCTAAATTTACTATTTCTTTCTCATATATCTATAATACCTATATTTCGTCACGTTTGACAGCACACTAAAAAGTCAAATTTATAATCAGTTAATAAATCATAAGGGTGCATTGCGAAATTTATTTACTATTTAGTACCTACCCGATCTAAAATATAATAATATCTATACACATATTATATAACAATAACTCCAATATTGGCATATGAATTTTTGAGAATTTTGGTAAAATTACTTATCCCTCAACTATTACTACCTATCATACGGTAGAGTGAGAAGTGAGGCAGCTTAGGGACAGCGGCGTGTATAGTTGCATGATTAGCATAACTTGCATAACATGATTTTATTTAATACATAGTAAATAAGATTATTTGAGTCATTTCGTGCAGCGTCATTAACTAACTATAACATATTATAATATTTGGAAATAGATATCGTCGTTGTGCGGGTAAAATCTGCTATGTACATTTTTTGGTAAAATTGAGTTATGAGCACAGAAATTCATAAAATTTAATTCTTAACCCATTCTTATAATCTGCTATAGACTATGAATAGAATTAACCAAGTTATAAACATTTGGTTAAAATCTGCTATTTGTTCAGGTGAGGTAAAATCTGCTATGTGCTAAAATTGCATATAACCGAAATTGCTCTTTGAAAAAGTTGAGCGACTACGCGCACTTAACAGATTTTAACTTTATTAAATTCTCCGCTGTAACTATATTTTAGGCACTTTAATATTAAAAATACATTCTTTTGTGTTAATTTCATTTTGAATGTTTGAAGTATGTACTTTTTTCACACGCTTACGGTAAACCAATCGCTGGCCACAGCTGTGGTCGACCAAACTGAGGAATCCATTACTAGGTTATCCAGGAAAAGAGCACTAACTTATAAGAGAGGGACAGCTAAAAATAATCGATTGATGGGAAAAACATACATTGGCTTCGAGAAAAATTAAGAAAGATAGATAACTCAGGCAGTAGAAAGACAGTAGAGAGGTGTACTGCCAAGATGTAAACATGACGATGTCCAATAGAAATAAAAAAAACTCATTTATGTGCCCAAATAACATTCGACGAAAGAAAACAGATTAACATTATGTTTTGGAATTTAACAAGTTGGGAGTTAGTTCGTTTTGGTATCCGATGGTTGCAATTATTAGAACCGAAAAAAAGTTTTGTGCAGTGCTCTAAGTGATCTGGCCAAAGAATTGAAAGTCACAATTAAGCAGATCATACTTGAATCTGGCCATCTATTATGGAAGTACACTCGGTTCACTTGACATTGGAATTTGTGTTCATAGCTCCAATATGGACGCCATCTCACTATGTAACATTAATGAAATCAGCATGACCACGTCAGCCTTATATTGTGAATCAAGTACATTACGAGTTTTTTTTAAACATACATACATTTTTTTTTAGACATACGAGCACTCAAATACACTCCTCATGGGTGTGTATACTTCAAACTTCGACATCCTGAGGACTATGCTTTGCTGCCACAACTCCTGCTGCCCTAACACACTCTTTATGCTAAGCTTTATGATAGTCCACGACCTATTGACAAGCAAAAGTATGATAATTTGCAAGATATCAAAAGATTTATAGACCAGGAAAGTCATGCGTTCTATGACAGTTTGACACACAAATAAGTTCAAACTAAACTACAAAATGTTTCAGTAAATTTAATGTTTCGTTTAGAACTTTCTAATTTTTGTGTCTGTTTTTTTAATTCACAATAAACATAATTGAATATTAATTTGATTTATTTTTAAATCAATAATAAAACAAAAAAAATATTTGAACATGTTAGGCAAAATCTGCTATTTACCAAAATCTCCCAAGTAAAATCTGCTATGTAATTTTTTTTTTCACAAAAACAAAAAAAAACTCTCAGTGCCTATTTCAGACGTAGTGCCTAGTAAAATAGGGCTTTACATTAACCATATGATTATTTTACATATATCTTCCATAAACAACTATCTTACGCAATCTACCATTTTTAAACAAACCAGTTTTATGTCTCCCCTGTAAAATTTAGTTTTCTACACATAGCAGATTTTGCTCGCGCAACGACGATATATTAAAATCTTTTTGTTCTTGATTTTTTTACAACTGGTGTTTTTCTTTATCAATTTTAATTATCCTTGGGTTATTCTAAATTCACTATTTCTTCCTCACATTTATAATATATTTCGTCATGTTTGATAGCACACTAAACAGTCAAATTTATAATCAGTTAATAGATCATAAGCGTGCATTTAGGAAATATATTATTTACTAACAACACTTGAAGCAACCGTCGATTTTGTATGTCAGTTACTTGCTCGAAATCAATGTTCAATAAAATTTATATCAGCTCGACAGTAAAAATTCGATATCTTTTGATCCAAATGTCCTACTGACAAAAATCATGATGCGTTTTAATGGCAAAGAGTGCAGCTTTCATATGCAGTTTTTGTATTATGCCGAGAATAACTCAGTTTTTATAAAGGTGTTAAATAAATTACCGTGGCGCGATTTGTGCCCTTTTTTACGAGTATTGTGAGATCAATAAAATTGATCACTTACATGGACCAGTTGTAGTAAAATTTACATTTTTAGAGATCAATCTTTAAAACCTATGATATGAAATTTTAATTTTGAGTTGTGGTAACAAATATGAGCTATTTGAAATATGAATAAAAATCGCAGAATTTAATTTTTACATTACAAACGATCACACGTCACGGAAAATGTATTAAAAAAGACGGTTTTGGGTGTAGTTTAATGCAGAAGTTTTGTTGCTTCGAAAAACGTAAAAGTGTAATTGAAAAAAAGTTTTAAATGTTTTAAATCGTTTGTTGTGTGAAAATTTAAATTTAGCGTTTTTTAAGCATACCTATTTCAAATACCTCACATTTGTTGCCAAACCTCAAAACTAAAATTTTATGCTATAGGTTTTAAAGGTTGGACTCTAGTAATCGAATCTTCATAGTGGCCAGTCAATGAAAGAGGCAGATTGTATTGATCTCAACACCTGTATAAAATATGAGTTTAGTTGCGGCAAAATACAAAAACTGAACTCTTTACCTTTAAAACGCACCTTGATTTTTGTAGATAGGTTACTTGAATCAAAAGATATCGAATTTTTACCGTCGCGTCGTGCTGATATAAATTTTATTGAACATTCGTTTCATGCACGTAACTGACATGCAAAATCGACGGTGGCTTCAAGCGTTGTTTCCAAGAGAACATTTCATTCTACACAAAAATGTTTATAAACATTTTTGTCTAAAGTTTTCCTAGCTACATTTTTTATTTGAAACTGTTTTTTCTACGGTGTACAGAATCTTGGTATCCCCTGTAAGGTGCCTTTAGGGGGAGGCCCGGGGGTAAAGTGGTAAACCTTTTTGCATCTTTTATGGGATCCCAAAATTAATATTGCTTGTTCGCATGATTTTAGTTATTTTAGTTTACTTTAAGCCATTAACGTATCGTAAATGTATTGAGAAAAATACTGTCAACGTTTATTCTGGTAAAGTGCGTAATAATCGCACCACAAATTCGCCGTATGATGAACTAGTTGTGTTGCACTTGTTTTGTGATTTATCGATTGGGCATGGTCTAGGTGTACAAATGTCTAAGTGTGCATGAATTCTGTTAATTTATTTGCAGGCCCCTTGTTTCTGCTGCGTCTTTAAGTCATCTCAAGCCCTTTGAATCAATGAGTTCAATTTTTGCCGTATAAAAGTAGTAGGTCATTAGATATGCAATGCATTCGTATATTCTAAAATACATACTTCCGTTCATTTGTATTCTTCTTTTTATATTATTTTCCAGTATTAAATTGGAAAGTATCATTGACATAGTAATCCTTTGTTTACTATAAAGCTATGAATTTGTAAATTTTTCCACTTTTACTCTACACTGTGTATCCCTTAATTATCCTTATTCTCTATTTATACCAAAGTCCTTCACTATCTAAAGCATCTTTGATATTTGTATATTTGCATAAAATTTAAAAGAGTCGTAGTTTAATTTGGTGTTCCTTATTCGTTTGTTGTATCTGCCTCGGCATATGCCTTTAATTTACAACTGTCCTATTTCTTCTAAAATACATTTGATAGTCCCCTAATTTATTTTTATTTTTTTGCAATCGTTTTTTAATTACGATAGCTAGTAATATGTCACATCCAAAAATGTAACGTTTCGATAGTTATCGTATTGTCTCTTTTTACTGAAGATGAATTATTACTGCTTGTTTCCAACTGTCCAGCTTTCCTCCTTTCCTCCAAATTTCGTTTATTAGTTCCATAATAACTTTAACTTTTTTGCTCTTTTTTGATAACGAATGCTACTTCTTCTATTTCATCTAACCGTCCTATTTCTTCTTTTAGTTTTTAAGTTACTAAAGTAATACAAATTTTGTGAATTTCTATTTTCACATTTTTTACTGAAATTTTGTAACTCAACTTCTAAAAAAACTGTTTTAATGCATATTCGTTTCGCTTCGCTTCTTTTAATGTCTACATGTCTACAGGTATATATAAAAACTCTATAAAATACTTTCTGTTACAG